TCGGTTACGCAACTTTTGTCATTCCCGCAGGGGGAGCGCAGGCATCTTCTTGTCCCCGCAGGGGAAGTGCAGGGGGGCAGTGCATGCCTGACAGTCACTGCCCAACGAAGACACTGTCAGTGCATGGTGATATCTGGCCTGATCAGCCAGACGTACCTGCTTTCGGATTAGCCAGTGGGCCCCCTGTGGCACTGGAGTAACCAAATCTAGATGGACATGGAAGTGACAAGCAATGAGAAGAAGAAGTAAAGATCTAGCACAAACAGCATCCATCTAAGTAAGGATGACTGGTCTGCAAGTGTGTGTGTGTGTGAGTGCGTGCGTGCGTGCGTGCGTGCGTGCGTGCGTGCGTGCGTGCGTGCGTGCGTGCGTGCGTGCGTGCGTGCATGCGTGCGTGCGTGTGTCATTGCTTGTGTTTGAGAAGTTTTCGCTTGAGGTCATTGTTTCGGAGCCCTCATTGCGAGAGGCACCCTGCAGACAGATTCTGGTCCCCATGTGGTATACAGAGACATCTGGTGCATCATGGCGCAGCAATACATGGACCCGCCGAACCCGGACGACAAGACCTCCGCCATCGCACCTTCCTGAGGATGCCTGCCGGGGCTGCGCGTGTCACAGGTGATCGAACGACGGCTAAACGACTCAACAAGGCATGCTTGTACGAGCTTTTCTCCAAAACTTTGGCGCTGGCTCCTGAAGAATTGTATGCATCCCAAGAGAACAGGGTTAGGCTAATTAGGACGGTCAGGTTTCCAGCTCCTCAATGGCAAGGCTTGTTACGAGTCCGCATCCCTGGCTTTGCGCAAAGTCTACTGCTGTGTCAAGCAAAACTGACCTTGCACCTGCATGCATCGGTGTCTTGCTGTTCAGTGTGTTAGACTCTCTCAGGTGGCAATGACTGGAGGGTTGCCACGCCGGGCCCCCTGTTCGATGTGGTAGGTGTGCGAGGCACGCCGGTGGCTAAGCTGGTTAGATGTTCGATTTGTTCGATCAGGCGAGGAGCAAGCCGCGTGGCTTACAACCGCTATCACAGCGATGAAAGCCGACTGGTCGAGCTGGCGGTTTGCGTCTACATATAGTGCAGGAGCCAGACAGTCACTGAGACGTAGCCATTTCAGCGATCTTGATTGTGTTAAGGCACTGCTTGGTGAAGGGACAAGCCTGCGACGATACACACAGCACATCAAGACACACAAACCGCAGAAATCTGCAGCAGAGGTGGCCAAAAACCAGCGAAACTGGAAACTCCTTCATGGGGGAATCTGGTGGTAGATCCACAGATCCACCTCTGCTTCGGTCCAGTGCCAGCATGGCGGCCATGGCGGTGTTTGCTTTGCTGTAGCCCGGCACCTGCGTTGCGCTGTAAATTACCTTGCCTGCGATGTGCACGAAGCGGCGTGCTTTGGCGCAGTCCCGCTGCAGATGGGCTTCACTGCACCATGGCACCAGTCCATCACCTTTTGCGAACTCGGAGCCCTCTTCTGCCGTTGCTTAGAAGACTTTGGGTTGGGATGTTTCTTGGGTGAAATGCTAGATTATACCACATTCTGCTTATCAGACGTTGAACCCTGTTGATCCGCCATCGGAAGGAGTGGAAAAAACTGTAACAAAAACTTCGAACCTAGGTGCAGTGAAGTGGACGGGGGAGTGTCGGACTGTGGCAACAGTAGGAAGTTGCGCAGAAGTTCGGCAGTGCAAACTCGACTAGTGGCGTTTGGATCCTGGAGCTAGGTTTTCCACTCCGTTCGAGTGCGGCAGCAAGTTCCGACAAGGCACAACAGTCTCGAAGCTTTGGTTCTTTGGTTACGGTTCTGAGCACTTCTGCTCATTAGGCCTGGTGCCGTACCAACCTTGCTGTGGGTCAAGTCCGAGTCCGCTCTAAAGCCGCACTCTTGAGCAATGTATCCCCCATAGTAAAGGCGTTGACCCGCTGACACCACCTATACCACCTGCGGAAGGGACGTGCGAAAGTCCACAGAAGTTTCACTTGCGGGCGGAGGCAGCACTTTGCTTGGCGGACGGCTTGCCTGAAAAGCTTAGTAGAGCGAAGCTCAACTAGGTCTTCTGGGGACTCTTGGGCCGTTTCGGCGACGAGAGGTGCAACGGTCCCTGGGCCAGCAGTGTCCTCTCTGAAACTCAGAATTCAAAGCCCCGTAGGAAGACGAAAGAAGGCAGTTCAAGGGCTCGTTTCTGCACACTAGAGAAATGCTTCCAAGGTGTTTTGTGGCCAGCACATCGTTCGCAACCAGACAGGCATCATCTCTGCGTCTGCACCGCACGTACGAGTGAGAGCATGTTGTGACAGGGAAATTCCTGGACGACACCGGGCCGGCTGCAAGGCAGGCCACAACCTGTGCCAGTGCGAGTGCGGGGACCCTTCGCCGTACAGTGCACCGCAGGATGCTCGTCCATGTCGCTCCCACAGCGGCCATTGGCACATCGTCAAGCAGAGACCAGCCACTGGTACTGATTACGGGGGCAGGGCTCCACCATGAGCCGCCAGAGCAAAAGTGCAATCCTAGGCAGAGGCAGACCTGGATGTCGTCAGATCAACGGTCCAGTCGTTGGAGGGCTGCTCGTGAGGAAGGCCTGACTATTCCCGGCAGGCATTACGCGTTGTGCAGGAGGGCCTGTCACCGTGAGGCATGTCTGTGTTTCATCTTCCTTGTCTTGAGCACGATGGGGCCAATCCTCTTTGACTGGGTCCGGAGCTGACGACGGCCGACTGCGACAAGCAACGACAGCTCTTGCATTCATTTGCCATTTCCAGTGTTCCTGCGCCTGCCATGCCTACCACGCCTCAAGTCAAGGTGAAACGCGGCAATTCTGGGAGCTTTCCCTTCTCCGTGCCCGCGCTGGTTTTCAATGCCTGGGCGATTGATGCTTTTGTCGGCCTTTGCTGGGCTGTGACCCAGGGCTCCAAGAGCGTTCAGCTCCTGCTGCTTGGACTGAGAGCATCTGCCCAGTCATCAAGCGTGGAAGCGTGCGACCTGTCATCTATGTGCCCTTGAGCATGAGTTGTGGTGTCACCTAGATGGCGCCCGGATATGGTGTGGCGCTTCTTCATTACCACCTCTTTATTCGTGGCTGGTGACATGAAGCATGGCTGCGGTTTGACCAGTGACCTGAAGACTCGGAGGAGACTGTCTAAGGGAGTCTAAGGCTCAGCTTCATGTCGATCGAGCACCTGGATGTGGGCACTTTCAGCCTGGTTGGGAAGGCTTCCTGTGCATCATACTAACTTCTATTGTGCGCGGTTAAACTTGCGAGGCGCTGGCCATCATTTTGACAGTCTTGTTGTCCAGACTGGTTCTGAAGAAGGGCCAAAGCCTGCAGCTCCTTTGACGCAGATAGCACACAAGTTCCATTGATGCTTTGGTTGGCCGTGCTTGAAGGCAGTACTCCCTGGTGGCTGCCGTCGCAGTGGCGACGATGTTTTTCTGCCGATCCGAAGTCGTTGAGCTGCAATTGAGTTCTTTAAGCCTTCGCAAGGCTAAGAAAGCTCATGAGCCCTTGAGGTCCAAGCACGCCAGGCAGCCAGCCTGGCCAAAGTCTTAAGGCGGCAAAGTCAAGAACGAAGGGGCATCGAAGATGGATGAGCATGCTGCAAGCGTCGTTTGCACACCCTGTTTCCAACTGTTCCTATGACTCCATGCGTTCATGAAGCGCTTTTTCATGTGGCCAGGAGCCCAACGCAGGCTTCGATGTCTTGGTACTTGGGCCTGGCTGAACGATCCACTGCAGTCTTTCTCACATCACTTGCGGCCGTCCTGCAGGACGCGTCACAGACACTCTAAGAAGAGTTCGTTGTGTTGGCGCGTTGGTGAACCGCAGGAGCAGCTGCTCACGAATCGGCCAGGAATTCCGTTTATGGTACAGCAAAGCTGGATGAGCTTGGCTGCAATGACTCTAAGCCTTCTCACTTTAAGGTTTGTGCATGGCCTGCCTTTCTCGGCATTGACGGAGGGCTTCGGGCACTGGCGAGTACTCGTGCTTCTGTTCTCCTACGTTGCTAGCGGCCTCACCACTGCGCTGATGGTCAAAAAGCTGGGGGCCATCGCCAAGTCTCTTTGCGTCCCGATTTACCTGGGTTTCTGCTATGCTTATGCCGTCTACACTGGCTCTGCATCGAACCTTGACTTCAGAGAGAGATGTGCTAGAGCCCTAGAGTCAAGACCGGCTTCAGAGAGTCACGTTGACCGAGGTTGACACTTCAGGTGCTGGCAGCCTGGACCGCGAGCACGGCCTGCATCCTGCTCTATGCTATTTCCAAGATCAAAGCGCCTCGGAGCGAGGTCTTGAACGAGCGAGCAAAGCGAGCAGAGCAAACAACCCCCAGTGCGGCTTCGCCCATGGATCCAGCGCCAGACCGCACCTCGCTAGAGCGCCAGCGCAGTGAGGACCCGGCAAACACCTGTGAAACTGCCTTCGGGCGTGGTGTTGCCTTGCCCTTGACACCGTCATCTGCAGAGACGGTCAACGACACAGATGCGAGCGCAGACGCTGATGCTAAGCGTGAGACTTAAAGGAGGCTCAGTGAGCTGAGCACGAGGAATTCGGCCCTACAAAGTCGAGGTGCCAAAATTTCTACCGCGGTCTCCGCACTCCTGGCCATTGGTGCGAGAAGCCACCGGGCGGTAAGTGCATCTAAAAACCGGAAATGGAAAGGTTTCTCCATGAGATGTTGAGACGTTCAGGCTTTGGCAAGGGGCCCCGATTAGAAAGGGTGCATAAGACGCATATCCCATTGTGCCAGGAGTGAGGAGGTTCTCTACACGGAACGCAAGGCTGCATCACGGCAACTCTGTTTGGAGAGTGCCTTGGTCTTTCTGTCCTGCTTGCAGGAGTTGGCCTTGCGGGCGGAATTCCTGAAACAGGCCAGATAGCTCCGTCAAGCTTTCCTGTTTCTGGTCATGCTGCCAAGGAGCTAAAGCAGCTGGAAGCCACTGATGCTGAAGAGGCAACCAAGAAGCGCCCAATCCTCAAGGCAACCTTTCGCAGATCCGTCTTTCCTGCAGCAGACTTGCACTTCTCAGCCTGTGCAAATCTCAGGTATAGACACTTCTGCGCAGTTGCTCTATTCTCAGGCTCCGAGCGGCTCAGAGCGGCCTTGCAGAGAGTCACAAGCTTCTGTGAAAACCTGCTTAGGTTGCGCACCTACGATGCGGTCCGTCAGAATCTACAGACATCGCAGGCCCAGAGGGATGAGGCCGCATGACTATCCTTGCAGGAGCCTGCCCGTCGGTTCGAGTGCAAGAAACCAAGGTGAGGCACCTTCGAGAACAAGAGCTTTTGACTTTGCAGCAGCAGATCCAGGCGCTGCAAGTCCTCACACTTGCTCAAGGGCGGTGCTGTCACTCAGCTGTCGCTCATAGGCACGAATGGTCGGTTTGCAAAGCTTCGCGGACAGTTGCACTTCCCAGCAAAGGGATCTCGAGGCCTCTTGCATCTGCACAGAAGATGTGTATGCTTCGATATTGATTGAATTGTGCAGGGAGAGCTCAATCAGTCGCAAGACAGTATCAAACTCCAGCTTGAGCACATGGACGAGGCAAGATGGATGCCTGCGTAAACTACGAAGAATCCTGCAGTGTGCGGCAAGGTTCGGGCCGGCATTGACAAAGAGATTGATGAACTGGATGAAAGAAAGCGCCAGCTCAGGCTGCTTGCATAGCAATCCCTGGCCCTTCGGTCTACCAGTCATGGTCAGAGGATCGAGTTGGACACAGTCTCTCGCCAGCTGGATGAGGCAACCGAAGCGAAGCCCTGCCAAAAGCAAAGCCTTTGGGCGCCGCTGTGTGCCAGGCGCGCATGAAGCAGAAACAGCACATGGAATCCTGCGATCGGCGCGGGCCCCGCTTGGACCGCCATGGCTTCGCAATTCAGGAGGACCCTCGTGCTGTCGGGCGTGATTTCTGCATTTCTGCACGTGTCAACAAACTTGTTTTTCGATGTGCATGATGAACGAGGAGACAGGAATGAGTATTCGTTTGGCCGCTCCGTCTGCGTTGCAGTCACATTCGCAGTCACATGCTTGCAAAGGCAACGTGCTGAGTTCTACCACACGAAAGCCGCACTGAAGGATCCCGCACTTCCGGGTTTAGCTCTCGGGGAGGGTTAATGGCTGTTACTGGTGTGACGGTTCTGTTGCATGGCAGGAGAAGTTGGATGCGGCAAACACGGATGGCGCTGTCAAGGTGCGGGGGAGGGAGAGGCATTGATTCATATGTACTTCAGATAAACGGGTGTGTGAGGAAGCCTGGTTGGTGTCAACAGCTTCCGAATGCCTGGGAGAGGCTTTTGGGTTTATCCGTTTGCTCATGCAGTGGTTAGGTAGAACACCTTCGCGATAGCACGAGATTGGTAATGCAGAGCAGAAACGAACGCTGCCAAGGAAGGACATACAGCATCATGCCCAGAATCGACCATGCTCCTGCATCTTCTGTCGGATGTATATCGGGGGAAGAATCGCACATGAACTAGGTCAAGGAATTCGAATTGAAGTATCCTGATCCAGAGTGAGTATGCTCCGGCATGTCCAGGCCGGCTTGTTTCGTATGCTTTGCAACAACTCACAGTATCTAAGGCGCCGCTTCCAGCAGCATATCCTGACAGACTTGTCGGTTTCATGTTCAATTCAGAGCTTTAAGCGTTTGGGCTGGGCGCTTCATCGCAAGACTGCTAGAATCTGCTAGAACACGCGAGAGGAAGCTGATGCCCAAATAGATTGCCGTCGGGCGCGTGCAACGTCCGGTAACTACTGCAGGCCAAGGAGAAGGAGCTGCTGGACCAAACGAGGCACGTCTCAGCTTGCAGGCAAAAACTGGCGATGTCATCGAGATGTCCGACAGTCATCCACGCTTGGGTACCTGGAGCCCTTTTTCGTAGCCAGGGAGATGTAAGTGCGCTCATGAGCTGAGTGTTCAAGCTATTGCAATCCGTTTAAAGAATGCTGCAAGCTCAACAGGGCCACTGCTTGCCCATCACATTGCGAAGTTTCTTGTGACCTCTGAAAACTCAGATGTAAGCTAATTTCGCCCAGTGTTGCGCTTGCCCTGGCCGTTCACCCTGGGAAGCGTTTTAGCAAGGCTGTGACGTGCCCGCTTCCTAGCCGCGAAGTTGGGTCAAGTGACGCGTCTTCCCGAACCTTGAAAGGCAGAAGGGCTTTCCACCCTCTAATTCAGCAGTTGCTACATGCCTGCCTGAAGTCACTAGGGCCACTAGGGCAGGCCCTACATGCCGGAAAGCAGTGACGTTAGGACAATGGCTTGTGGGGTGGCGGATTCGTGTTACGACATTGTTTTTTGAGCGAGCATGGAAATTGTTGGTGTTTCGGGGCCATCGGGTGGCTGCAGCTCCGAGATCCCCATTGAAAATCTCGAATGTTGTCTTGGCTGAACACTCGACTCTGATAATCTCTGATGCAGGCAGCTGATCGAAGAGACGAGTGTCGCTCTCCAGTTTCTGGGCTCAGACGTCCTGTGTTGTCCAGCTACCGGTGACCGCACGTGACCGGTGACCACACAGGGCCACTGTCCGCGAGCAGACAGAAGAGTTACAGCAGAAGCAGGCACAAAGCGGCTCGATCAGGCGAGAGTGGCTGAGCCGACTTTCTGTTGCTAGGCCGAGTTTCAAAGCCATTTCAAGTTGCTCTTACTCGATCACCTTCGTTACGCAGAGGTCCCCGCTATTTTCCTCACGCACAGACTCAGCCTCTTGAAATCTTCTGAACAGGGAAGAGCAAAGGACTTGCAAGCCGAGGCCCAGAAGGCCGCGGCATCGCAGGAGCGCAGGGCCTACACTCACTCCCCATTACAGTGAAAAAGCTGTGACCGGCCCGATCCCCCCATCCTTGCAAGAAAAGCCTCGTCTTGGAATTCGATAGGACCCGGGTGCCAAAGAAGCAGCCCGGGCAGCAGCACAGGGAGCCGCAGATGCGCTTCGACCTCAGCTCGTCCCCACACGCGAATCTCTGAGCCAGCATAGAGCCTTCATGAGCCTTCCGAAAATTATCGATTAAATCTTTTATGATCTTCAGAGGTTTCTTGAAATGTCACATCACCTATGGCCGAATTTCAGTCCAGGCAGTGTGGCCATGAGTGCTCCGGGATCTTGACCTGCACAGTGCAGCACTGCGTGACAATTTCACAAACTCTGCACCCATTCGGTTCTGGAAGGGATTTCCAAAATGCAGTACCGTGTCTCATTGGCGTGTGGTCGCGAAGTGTCAGCAGTTTGTACTGCACCGATCCTGGATTGAAGCTAAGGCTTCGCGAATGGAGTCTTCCGTGGATCTGACCCCCCCAGCATGTACACCAATTTCAAACAGCTGGGCCCGTGACCGGGTGACCATGAACGGCGGCGCTTTGCCTTTCGCCATTATTCGGTCTCAGGCAGTAGTACTCCTCAAGCCTCTGAAGCGCGTTTGAAGAGGACCCCTAGTGAAGAAAGCCGTCAAGACAGCACAAAATCTCAGAAGACTTCGGGCCCGTACGCGGTCCCACCCCGCAGTTCGCTCACCGACGCACGCTCCCATGCTGACAGCTGTAACTTTTTGGGGGTTCTTAGGCCTTGGGCGATGCAAGGTTTCGCTAGAAGTTGTTTCAAGGCTTGACGAGCTCTGCAAGGACATTGATTTTCTGGGCGACTCCAGTGTGAAGGCACGAGAGAGCTTCCTTCGGAGTGTGCCTTGCCCCGCTTGCAAGCGCTCTTCCAAGGCACAGCTTGAGAACCTGAGAGTCGCTCACAGTGCCACCCTGGCCCTCCTCGGTGCACGAAGCTCAGCCCGCTTTTGAGAGCCCAGACTGGCCCAGATCTGGTGGGCTTTGTCAAGCGAGGCACCAGCCAGCGCGGCTTCCGCACCGGCCGCCGCCGCCGCCACCGCCGCCACCGCCTCGCCAACCGCAGCGGCGGAGGTGCGGCCTGGATTTCCCGGTAGGCCGTCGTAAGCACAATGCAAACGTGACTGTCACCACCGACGTTCAGGCGCCCTATCCGTCGCAGTCTGCAGCTCAGTCCTCGCAACAGGTGCCAATCATTTGAGATCGAGTTTCATGTACAAAGAAAAGGGAAGATGAAGTACTGGCCGCTCACAAACTAAAGAGTTGCTTTCGGATTTGATATTGACTTCACCTTCCTTTGCAAGATCTCGTTTGACGCAACCGGCTGCAAAAACTGTAGACCATGGTTAAAGTAGTTCGACGGGCACTTTGCAGCTTGCTTGTGCCCTTCATTTCGGCTCTGCCACTTGCGCAATCGCATTGTCATCTCGCCATAAGTGATCCGCTGTGCAGCTCGTATTTTAAGCTGTGGTGCTGCATTGCGCTTGCATACACTTGAACTCTCCTGCGCAGCTTGTGGACGGTGAGTCCTTGCGCGCCTTCTCGCACCGCCAACCATGTCATAAGCTGTCGGAGCAGGCTCTGCATGCAGGCGCTTGGAGTGTGCATAGGACTCGCTGAAGTGTCGGCAGGCTGCGAGGCTCTACTACCGACAGGCAAGGCTATGATTTCACGTCTTGGGCCTTTTGAGTTTGGAGCTGAGGTCGTCGAGGGTGTCTCTGTGTGCCACGAACGGCTTGTCGCACACAGAGATTTGAAGCCGGGCCTTGAGTAGCCTGCTATAGCCTGCTGATTTAGTGAATTTAGTGCCTCCGAACTGCAGGCTCGAGAACGTACTGCTCGACAAAGGTGCCGCTCAAATTCTCGCTGCGACACCTTGAGATGGCAATCGCAAGGTCGAGAAGGTGTGAAAATCATTGATTTCGGCTTCGCAGCACACGTGTGCGACCAAGCTCGATGAAGAGGAGCACTGCTAGGTTCGCAAAATTAGAATCCAAGCCAGTCACAACACCTGCAGAAGCTGCAAGGTGCCTAGCAAAGAAACAAAGCTGAAAGCCTTCTGCGGCACACCATCGTGCCTCCCCGCTGTCATGTGACTTGCGCTTCTTGCCTGTAGCTTGTCGAAAGCTGAGCACTTGGTGTTGCCAATGCCCGCTTTCAGTCCAAGACTCTTGCACTGCTAAGCCACAAAGCATGTGGCCAGCCCGGTGTAGTTTTTGTAGCTGTAGGGTCAGACGATGTCAAAGATCTTGTCACGACACGTAGAAAATCCTTCCATCACGCATGGCCGAGATTGATGCCATATTGTTGCTTGTCAGCAGTAGTTTTGTAGCAGTGGCACATGCCGCTAACGATGCACTTTCCCCACAAAGTTACGTCGCAGGTTTGATCTGGATGATACCCTCTACCCCGTGAGCACGGGCTTCTCAGATCATCGGAATGGCGAGGCATGCCACTATTGATCTCACATCTGATATGGAACTTGTTCGGCATCCGTTTCGACCTGAGCGCGCAAGATGCAAACTGCTGTTGTGCTTTCGGACAAGGACGTCTAGAGGCTGTGGCAAACACCGCGTGCAAAGAGGAAAGCGTAGCTCTTCGAGATAAGCATGCAGGGGTGTGGGTGGGGGTGTGTGTGTGTGTGTATGTGTGTGTGTGTGTGTGTTTGTGTGTGTGTGTGTGTTTTTGTTCGTTCGTTCTTTGAAGTTCTGGTCGTAGGTCTACAAGTGGCTGGCCGACAAGCCTACATTGTCTCATGACATGATTGTGTTGGAGACAGCGGTCGGTGCATCGAGCACAACTTGTGCAGGTAGTTTGCAAGTTCATGGTGGATTACCTGGGCTTCGATTCCATGCAGTCTGCAAAGGCGTTGCGAGATGAGTATTTCCAGCGGCATGGCACAATCTTACTGGTGTTTCTGGCTCCATGTTATATCGCTGAGCCTTCTCAGCCCAACCCCACCAGGCGTTATCACTCCACGATGAAAGGACTCAACGTGGCAATGGAGGATTCACAGCTCTGGCGTAGTACTGGTGCTGCTACTGCGAGAAAATGTTGTCATGTTGAGCAGGAGGGCCGATTGCCCAAGCCTTTCCAACAGGAGAGCTGCCTAAACTGCTTGAAGCTGCCGCAAGCCTGCCGGGTGCCAGGAAGATTTGGGCCAATTCTGGGCAGATCACTGTGACTTTGCCCGGCGCCACCGCGTCGAAGACTGCTTGAAGATGCCAAGCGCAGCCCTGCAGCAGGTTCATCCATCCAGACCCTGAGCAATTCCAAGTGATCCACAGCCTGGCGCAGGCATCAATTCACGTCAGAAGGCGTCCAGCCGATCCGAAGTCATCTCGCCCCCAGGTGGGTCTCAAGCTCGCCGTGTTCACAAACTCGCCGCGCAAGTGCTCCTCAGCCCGAGTGCTGTCTACCCCATATCGATTACTCAGAGCGATAGCAGAGCAGATTCTGATTCCAGGTATGCTTTGAGCTGCTTAGACAAACTGGGCCTCCGTACACTCTTCCCTGACGACCGGATCTTCGCTGTGGAGGCAGGGTCACATCCAAGAAGCATTCTGTTTCAGATCTTGAAACTAAATGGAGGATGTGCTTCCTGCCTGCAAGCCTCAGCCAGAAGAAGCACGGCTGAAATTAGTCTTCATGTGCTCAGCCTGGTGAATAAAATCATTGGAGCGTCTTGCGATTCCTTTGCTGTCTCGTCGCCCTAACCTTCCGGTATTTCGGGCTTTGATTGCATGTCTGCTCGCTTGTTTCTGGAGATGCCCGCACGGCTGCATTGTGCTTCTAAGATTCTACCCGAGAGACACTGCCGACCATTTCAGTTTTATGGTTTGATGGCAGGGATGAGAATGGGCTGGCACAGCTGTTCTTGAGTCCTCCGGCAAATAGGATGTTTGCGGGCAGCAGTCAGGGCTGGACCCACATTGGGCTTGCAGTGATCCCCAATGCAAGAATCGTAACTTCGCATGATGTCGTGTGGACCTGCCGTCTATAACCCTTTCATTGTCAGAAGAAGTTGAGCCCAGATCTGCCAAGACGACTGATAAAAGAGGTTTGTTCTGACGACACAGCCTGGCAAAATGAGGCATTCAAGCAAGTGCTGGAGAGTATTGGGTCCTGTCCGGAAAAGACTGTCATCTTCGAGGACTCGATGAAGAACATTCGCGCATGCAAGGCTGATTCAACGTGTGACTTGCGTCGGCAGGGTCCAGAGATACAGGTGCAGCGTGGAAGGTAGAATCAGGGGCCTAGGCTTTTCATGGACGGCTGCATGTCGCCAGCGATGTCGCTGGTTCCCCAATGATTTGTCAGTGCACGTCTTTGGCCAAACGAAGTTAGTAGGGAGTTCTGTTGATTGCAATTGCAGTCAGGCGGTTTATAGTTTTTAGTGGCAAGCAATATTGGGCGAGCGAGATTAGTGCAAAATAGCTACTTGCAAGAGCTCGCCGAGTAGCAAGGCTTATGTCAGGAGACATCTGCCAAAATGGCAACTGCCATTTTGGCCCGAGCATCTGGACCGTGGGTCCTCTAGATTTTGCTTGTGTTCTCCCGACTTACCAGGTGCCACTCGCTTGATGGTCTTACAAGGCCGGTAGGCAAGGGGCTGTTGTGTCACGAAGTCGCACAAAAAAGGGTCTGAAAGAGGTTGGTGCCAATCTGAAAATTTGCGCACGAAGCCTGACCCGTTTGCGGTTGCGGTGTGAGCAGCAGTGACTGCAAGGATAACATGCTTAACCGCCAATCGGCAGCATGCGGCTGAAGGCTACGCAAGCCCAGGGTTCCGCCTGTCAGCGCCTGAACGGGGTATCCCGGGCAGTGGGGTTGGTTTGATTCTTTTTGCCGGAAGCAATATTTTCTTCGGATTTGCGTTGCATAGCCTGATTTATCTCGGACGGCCACCAAGTTTACTTTAGATTTCGTTAATAGCACAATTGCCTTTTCAAAACTGTTCGCAAATATTCCTCCGAGAACTTTGTGCCAGACACAGCACGAAAGTTTCCCTATCGCAAGCGCCCGCAAGGCATGTGAGGTGCAACTTGTTTCACATTTATGTCCCATGACAATTTGCTTACGGTTTTCACGATGGACTTCGCAAGATTGAAATATTTGGACAGGTATTTCTCGAGTGATGCGAGGCAACCGAGGTCTGGCTTCGTGGATGAAAGCCTCATCGAGGCTTGGGTGAAGCGAAATTCATTTTTGAAGAATGCGGAAACGTTCGCAGCTCACTTCTGGGAGCCGTCTGCGCACAACATTTGGACTCGATCCTTCTTTAAAGCCCCTAGATCATTTTACACAGGTGGGTCACACCGTGGTATGAGGCAAAATCGAACAGTCATGAATCGTCTTGATTTAATCCTGTGCAAGCATGGCTGTGCCTTGCAGGCCCTGGGCATACGTACTGTCCTCGTAGATGAGTTCCAGGCACACCTAACGAGTGGCCCAAAGTATACAGATTTGAGGCCGTTGTCCAAGTGGCTCTGCAGGGTGGTGCTACGGGTGCGGCAGCAGGTCCGTAAGATGATGACCCATGCGGCTACGAGGCAGTAATTACAATTGAATCGTAGAGGCGAGGCAGCGCTGCTGCACGACATTCCAGAGCATGCTGACCCGGCAGTGGATGTGGTGATCAAGGCAGGCGGCAAGCCTTCAGAGATTATTGTTTGAGTTTGAACAATACACAGGAGAGGAGCGCAGGGTATTCCAAGTGAATGCATATCTGTGTGCGTGTGTGTGGAGGTAGGTAGGTAGGTAGGTAGGTAGGTAGGTAGGTAGGTAGGCAGGGAGGTAGGTAGCTAGGCAGGTAGGTAGGTAGGTGTGCGTGTGCGTGTGCGTGTGCGTGTGCGTGTGCGTGTGCGTGTGCGTGTGGGTGTGGGTGTGAGTGTGAGTGTGAGTGTGAGTGTGTGTGTGTGTGTGAGTGAGTGACAGTGTGTGTTCGCGCGATGTCCACACCGAGAATGGCCTTTGCTCGTACCTTCTGTCGTGATCTTGTCGTTTCGCTGTTAGTTCTTTGTTGCCACAGGTGCCGGCACATTTCCGGGATTCGGGTCTGACTTTCTCGGGCTACGCCGCTGCGGGATACATCCTGGCAGTCAGGTGAATGCCTAGGATCCCAACCCACACGCAACCAGTAAAGAGTGAGAGATTCGGAGATGCTGTCATAGAGTAAATTCCAGAGACTCACTTAAAGGACCTCCAACCTCAAGTGCTGGAGTTCGAAAGCCTTGACAGGATCTTATCGCTAAACGCTCGTATGACTCATGTGCGCACTGATTGGCTCTTAAGCCACGAGGACCTTCTGGAGGTGCCGACAGTACTGCCTGGCATGTGGCATAAGCGCTTCGAGGCCAGCAGGAGGGCATGAAACTTGACGCCTTCAAGACGGCAGCTCGAGGTCTGCAGATCTCTTTTGTTTGGTCGTACAACAGATTTTCATTCTCTTGGAACGTGCGGATTAACCATGAAGGTGGACTCGAGTGGGCGATGAGTTTTCAGATCAGCTGAAAAGCATCCTCTTGTTCTTCTGCGACCTGTTGCAGCAACCCTGCAGCACATCCACATCCATGTACTTCACGTTTCTCACATCCTGGCTGACGTGAGGCAGTTCGTCCCAGGACCTAGGACGGATGCTTCCGCTGGCACAGCAGGTGGCAAGTAGAACACCGGACCTACACCTGAGCTGCAAAACAGTGCCTGCATCAGAGTCGGTTGCCGTATGTTGCCGTCAGGAACATCAGACATCAGCGTTGTGTCAGGAATCTGATATCCGCATCCCGCCCCGCAGCCAGGTACATGGCTCCGGAGATCATACGTGGCGAGGGCTACTCAGGCACGATCGGCTTGACATGTTTTTGCTCGACATTTGCTGCATGTTTCCAAGCCGCCTCATGGTTCGGACTTGTTCTGCGCGCTCTTCCTGACCTGGTATAGTTAACGTGTCCAACGCCTGTAGCACCACGATTCCATCTATGTACGACAAGCCCACAGTCCTACGGCCTCGCTCCGAACATCAAAGCCAACTAGCTTCACCAGACCTTGTTTGGCCTTTCGAAAGCCTATCCGGAGCATGTACTGCAAAGTAGGCCGAGCCGAGCTCCTCCAGCCCCCTAAAAGTCCTCTATACCCGCAGGCTGTGAGTTGTGGCCGGTTGTATGTTGAGGCTTTGCAGCTGACATGTGGGCCCTGGGAGTGGCCTTGGCCTTGGACGACACGCTGCGAGTGCTGCGATTGCTGCGATTGCTGCTCTCGGAAGCCTCGCTGCAGCAAGAGGTGCTCTTTGCGCTGCTCTCGGGCACCCTGCCTTTTTCGGCGAAGACGGAGCCAGCTCCTCAGGGCCGGTTCGTGGTGTCGCACTGGCGAGGGGGCCCTGGGCCGACTCCAAGGATGCAACTCTATGCCAGAATTCGACGTGGCAGCTTCACCTTTCCTGACTGTCTCGGCGAGGGTCTCGGAGCTGGGCCGAAGAGACATTGGAGCGAATGTTCTCTTCCCCAGGCCGTTGTGTCTCTGCCGGCACTGCTTCCGAATGAATCGATCCATACACTGCAGCCAGAGGATGGATAAGGCCACATGAAAAGTCGCGGCTCGTGGTCGAATCGCGCTCGCAAGGATTCTTGTAGTGCTTAGAGCCACATCTTCAATGCCGCATCAACTTGTCATAACTTGTCAGCTCCCATTCCGCACAGCTCCGAATTGAAAGCGTCGAATTTCCAGTTTCGGCAAACTAAGCCTGGGTCTGGGTCGAGTTGTGGCAGCACGAGAGGTCTCTTATTTGACTCCTGCAGCTCAAGAAACATGCGGGCCCACCAGATTGCACAAAGGCATACTCTCTGTCGATCGAGCCAGATGTTGCGAGAACTGGGGCACAATCATGTACCAAAGGCTTTCCATCTTGACAAGTGCCGGAGTTCATGGTTTCTCGAATGCAGTCAAGCGAGGGGCTGTGCTCCGAGGCGACTCACAGAAACGCCTGCTCCGTGGAGTCATGCGAAAGGATGCGACGGCCAGGCCAGGGCCAGAGGCCCCACACACCTCGCGGCAGTGCCAAGTCGCCTGAGGCCCTCGGCCTCAGCGCTCTTGCAGCATGCCTGGGTGGCCGGCCGCGATGATGCAGGAGATGGGAAGACAAAAAACGCACGTTGTGCTTTCTCCCGTGTAGAGACGCTTCACAAGTTCTGAGCTTCGCAGCTGACACTGCAAGATACCGCGAAGGATGGCATGCGTTCCAGCTTGGACTCTGATGAATGCTCCCATTGCTCCTCGATCAGCCCGATCCCGCAAGATGCAGCAATGTTCGTTCACAGGACATCTCTCGAGTGTAGTTTCGACCTCAGCATCGCAGCCTCGCAGCCGCATCAAGTGCACTCAGAGATCCGCGGCTCATCGGAAGCTGAGGCTGCCGCCACTGCCTTAATGACTGACAGTGGAAAGGCCTCGAACAGGCCGCGGGGATATGATTGTGCGTGAACGGCCCCCAACCGTTCTGCAAGTTCTCTTCATGTGTGGCGCTGTCGTGCGCGTTTTTTCGTCAGCTTCAAGGCTTCCAGTGCCTTGCTTCATTCTTGTACTAGTCTCGAAGGGACACACTTGGTTCTGGTTTTATAGTCAGTACACACATTGGACACCATTTGCCAAGTGCTAGCCAGGATGATGCTGGCATTTCGGATCGCTTCTTTCACCCAGCCCCGTATTTTGCAAGAGCCTTGCAGCCCAGACCCAGTTCCCAAATTCCTGTTTGCCACGTCGCCGACGCGCGGGCAGGATCCCCCACATTTCTCGGTGATGTTGCTGTTAGGCGTTCGGGATCGTTCGGGAAGCACTGATTTTGTGAGTTGACTGCTGCGGCCTCGTTGGTTTCTACCAATCTTGCACTCTCTGGTTGGCCAGCAGCACACTTTGATGTCACACCCCTAGGGGAAACACCCCCGACCCGGGCGCGAGCTTCGAACATGACATGGACATAACCTCTCGTTGACGTTCGAGAAACAGTTCCAAAAAAAAAAAGATCCTCGATGCATTCGACGGCAGGCTGCAGGCTCCGCAGCCCGCTGAGGCACCGGTGCGAGCTCGGAGTCTCAGCTTCCGTGACTTTGTGCACTCTCTTTCGCCAACTGGTGCTCAACGGCTGGAACTTAGGCGCACGGATACCCCAAGTCCGTGACGAATCAGACGGCCTGCATGCTACATGCTTGTGTTGACCAAGTATATGCTGCTAGAGTCGAGCCCGGCAGTCACATTGCCTCCTTCGCTGAACCAGCTTTGCAGAGGCGCACTTGGACGATCTGACGCAGAAGATCTGCGGGATCTCCAACAAAGGCCTTGACTTGTTTCTTGTGCATTGCCTGTGGAGGCAGGTCACTTGCTGCACAGAAGGGCAGGTATAAGGCAAAGCACCTTGCAAGCATCAGGAATATGCTAGAATACTGACATGCTGCCATGCTGCCTGCTTTGTAGAGGACATCCAACGACTTTCTTGGAGCACTCTGCCCCATCATCCCCAACACACTCAAAGGCTGCACAAAAATCTGGACCTTGATACGCCATAGACTGCCAAACAGAACTACTGTCTCATGTTTCCTACATGAGCCTACATGTCAAGCAGGCATCAACTGTCACGCTTTGAGACTTCAGGCGCGACGGCTTTCGGAGGCAGCTGACAGCTGGTTTGCATGAATGCGTCGACGAGTCTCAGTCCACCTCAGACCAGGGAAGTAAGTCAAGTTGCCCCGTTGCTTGTTTCGAAGCAACCGGCCATTGCATGTTGCTGGTCTTGCTTCGTCTATGTTCCGCTTCACAGTGGCCCGCTTCAAACACTGCGATCACCATTTCAACGATCTGCTGGAGGCGAGGTGCAAGCCTGCAGAGCCGGACTGTACCTGCAACCGACAATGCATTGTCTAGATACGAGTGAGTTCACGAGCCAACAGCAGTTGCATTCCGCTTTAATTTGCATTGTGCAGCACCAGAGCGTGCGAATTTGCATTGCCAATACTGCCTATTGCTACAAACCAACCGCCGCTGAAGATGCGGCAGGCGCATTTGGATACCAATGCCCTTCGTCACGAACGTGTGTAAGTCATCTTGCATTGCGTAGCGAATACAATCAGAACCCATTGTCAGCATCCTGCTTTGACCGACGGCATTGCCACGATCATGCAAGAAGTCGGCCTGCGGATCATGCAGTAGCATTTCGCTTACGAGTGGCAGTAAAAAAGAGATGCTCTTGGGGCCTTGGTGCCGTCTTTTAGGATGTTGCTTGCTCTTTGGAGACCTCTGTTAAATCGGCTCGAAGCGATCGTCCACAAGGCTCGTGCCAGAGTTCTGGAGGCCTGAGAGAGTGCGCAAGAGAAGCATCCCATCAGCTGAAAGATTCCGAGACATTCGCAGGTCATGGCGAGCTTGTTAGGCGCCCAGGCAGGGCAGCAACCACAGGCGCGGATGCCACAACACTCCGAGCTTTGACACCTTCAGCTCAATTTTCAGGTAAGCCCGGTGGACATGATGGTGGCAGAGATGAAGGGCATGGCTGACATTTTCTTCAGGCATCCTCTTGTGGGCTTGCTGGAGACACTGGGCTAGCTGCTTGCAGAGCTTCTGAATCCTCGCATGTCTAGCAGCAAGATGTTGTGATGTTCAGCAGCTGTAGCTTCAGCACACAGACTCACCGTGACTAGCGATGGTTTCTGGCCCCGCCTTTCCGTTGATTGTGCCGTGGTTGATTTTATCAGTTTCGGCTTCTTCACCTGGCTGCAGCACCACCTCGCGTGCACACGGGTCTACACGAGTGGTATGTCTGACATTACGTATATCACCTCTGTTCGCATGTGCAGCGGTCCTTGGCTTGTCTGGTTTCATTGCTTGATTGGAGGCCCCTACATTTAGGCAATTCATGTGCACAGCGCAAGACAACGCATCGTGGGCCGGAGCCTTGGACCTCTTACTGTATATGTGCGATTGCCCGTGCGTACGCCTACATGCAGCTCAAAGTTTCATAAAGCGTGCCTTGCTGCAGCAACCAAGCCGTTTACCGATTCCTTGCGGCCTGGACGACTGTCTTGTGTCATCCGTTCTACTCGGTGTGGTTAGATGCACGCTGCTTTGCTATGTTGCAACACTGGCCGAGTCAGCAGAGTGACGAGGATGCACGCGCATACAGCCCCTGCAGCTTCTTCATATTTGAGCACAGCCGTGCCTCTAAGCCTTTGCATGGCAAGGCAGTTCTGAGTGTGCGTCATGCGTTACGCGTAAAGTCTCGGTTGCGGAAAAAACCACCATCACTACAGTCTGGTGGACGAGGACGTCACTGTCACGTTGATGTCCTTGAACTCATTGTCGCGAGTTGTCAAGTCTTCATCGATATGGAGCCTCGTGAGCCGGCCGGCATGCAGTGCAGGATGCAGGCCAGTTGCTACAACAAGTGCATAGCCAGCGTCAAGGACTGGATGCCTGCAGTTTACAATTTACAAGCAGGCAAACTCCTTGAAGCTGCCGAGGAGGAAAAGTTAAGCGTCGGCGAGATGAGCTGCGTAGACAGGCACCGGCTAAGCGGCTAAGCGACAGCTGCGGAGTAAGAGACATGCTTGCTAGAAAGAGATGCAAACGTTTGGGCCAGGTGTGTGAACAAGTTCATGGATGTCCACTCAAAGGCATGAAGGGCCAAATGACTTCTCGGATAGAGGCGACAGTCATTGCTATGGTGAGGTGGGTGCAGAGCTGCAAGCTTTCCAGGTCAGTGCCTTTACACCTTATTGAGTGCAGCTGGAGCTCACATTGCAGTTTGTTGCCCAGGCTCAGCAGGTGCAAGCGCCTGCATCCACCGAATGAGACTTACAGATTACAGGCTGCCCTGGGTAGAGTTTCACCACCCGAGACAGGCTCCAGGCTTAGGAGCAAGAGGAAAAGTTGAAGGCATGTTAGGGACAACGTGGAGCTGCCCTAGACAGCAGTTGCACACTTCAACCCGCCCCACGGGTGACGAGCATGGTTTTGTGGAATGCAAAAGGCTAGCAGATGCAGAACGGACATTCTTCATGGTCGATGCATTCCAAAATAAAAGCCCACCGCCAAGCAAAGGATCATCAGGGTTTGGCCTCGGAAGAGACCTGTAGTTGTGCTTTCAGGGACTGACCGTGCTTCTGCTGGCAGCTGCGATTTTCCGCAAAAGCACACAGAACAGACAGTCCGAGGGTGTGACGTGTGACGTGATCGCGATCCAGTACGGGAATAGATGCGCCCAAAGACCTGGCAGACCTCGCAGAGATGTACTGTTGCCGTCGCTAACGTCAGTGCAGCGTAGATTCGTGCTGGTCATGTGAAAAACAGCAAGAAGCTGGTGTTCTGCTCACCGGCCTTGCCTGAAAGAAGCCCCTGCAACCTCAAGATGACCCACGACTTGTCTTACAAAGCTCCACCGTGCATGCAATGGAAGGACTTGTTTGCCCGGCTTGGGGCTTCGTCAGCTAGCAGCAGCAGGATTGAGCCTGTGGAAAGCAGACAGCACGTTCATCGCCACAATCCTGGACACGACTCCGACAAGACTCCCGTTTTCAAGTGTGTTTGTTCACAGCAGTGTGTTGCTGTGCAGCAGCATTGACCACATTGTATGGGGTTTTCGAGGACAGCACATTCCCTGCAATGGATTTTTCAAAACAATCGCAAGGGCTTCGCCGCCTGTACAAGTGACACGTTCACCGGGATCAAGCCGCGATGGCTTCCTCTCATTCCAAGTTGCAAATAGCAGTGTGTAGGCATGTAGGGAAAGATTATGTAAGACTCGCACGACTCCATTCTCAACTCGTACCAAAAGCCCTGAGCGTCCTGCACGACGTCGAGCTGGAATGCACAAGCGAAAGGTGGTGCAGTACCTGTCCAAGCATCTTGGCCCCAGATTCGTTTGCCCGCGTTGCATGTCGCATGCGCAGCGTGAGCAGTATCAAGGCTCTACTCGTAGGAATGCCATCCACCCTGTTTGTGAACGCATAGACGTAGACTGAGGTATATTCGTGGTTTGAATGCTGATCAAGTTTCATCCAGCAGCTTCGCCGGATCAAAGACACTGTGTGAAGAATCAAGACGAAGACTTCTTGCCTCCCTCCGAGGACTGCTTTCGGGCGAAGTCGAGTTGAGAGATGCAGAGCTCGAAGTGGCACCGTTGCAGAGCCTGCTGGCCTCCGCTGGTTTGCCCTTTACCCTCGAGGCAGCAAGAGGACATCCTCTCACCCTCTCTTTCTTTCCTGGTGGTTCGAGTCAGTCGCACAGAAGAGAACAGAGTGCCTGGTTGTCCCTTATCGGGTCTGCGCCCTGCAAAGTAGGCAGACTGATCATGAAATCAGGCGGTTCATCCTGTACCCGTAGCTTTTCCAAGCTGAGCCCAGTCTGCTACCCACTTACACTGCCGCAGTGCACCCATGCACGTCTGCTCGTGATTGGGCTTCACATTTGCACTGCCTGCCTTGGAATATTGCGGCGGCGGATGTTCTTAGCCGGGAGTTTCGAGAAATCCCAGAAACTGTGAAGAATCGTGTTAGGATGTGTTAGGCATCGGGACTGCAGTACGCTCACGTCAGAGTTCTTCCACATACCATGCATACAGTATTGACAGTGGTGGACAATCGGAAAGCCCACACGCACGTGTGTGTGTGTGTGTGAGTGAGTGAGGCTTGCTGTCACTTACGCCCTTACTCACTCACTGACTGGGGTGCGCTTCACTGCAGCATGCTGTGGCATTTTGCTACAAACTGCCTTGCTCTCTCTCCCTCTACCTCTCTCTGTGCCTCGCTGTGTCAGGTGCTGGCAGTGTCTTGCCGCCTGCCCGCATTGTCTTTTGTTTGCTTCCTCCGTGCGTCTCTGGTGGCTGCGTGAGGTGACCTGGTCTCTGTGACGGTGCCCTGGAGCGGTCTCCGCTCTCGACCCTTGCAGGTGAAAATTGGACACGTGCGTGCCCAGGCTGGGCCCCGCCCCGAGCCCCGCCCCGGGCTGCGTCCGTTTCTTCCGTCCCAGAGGTGAAGGTGCATGACGCAACTGATGCAGCTTGGGTAGAGATGATTGCTGCTGCGGCTACTCGGGCAAACGTGAAGAGCTCCCCATTTTCCAAGGCCGGGGCTTTTGGTCATAACTTCTGTGAGTCGCTGAGTGGCCACACGGCGAGGAGCAGCGCAGCCTACGGGTATCTGAGTCTGGTCTGCACGTGCCAAACAGTAGTAGATACATGGATGCCAACAGTTTGGAGATGAGTATCTTGTCGGGGATGCCACCAAGGATGTCAGAGTTGCCATGATTGATGGCCTACACGTTTCTGTCGCATCTTTGCAGCTGGTTTGCAGCCTCGCGTCGTCGAAGTTGTCACTAAGCAGCATCCGCGAACGCCATTGCCGGGAAGCTTGAGAGGTTTTTTGTTTCGGTGTGCAACTCCCCCTCGCCCCTCTGGCAATATGGCACCCTGAGAAGTGCCCTGGAGTGCCCATTGCAAGACTTTCCACATGGCGTAGCGCGTAATGCGAGTTGACAACAATGGAGGAACCTAGTACAAAGTCACTAATCGCAATGCAATCCACTCAGGGAGGCCAAGACACATGAAAGCGAATCCCATACAGCGGAAACCAGTGTAGCATTCAGCAGCAACGAACTATCTGGCGAGTGCGAGTGTGAGCTTGACATGAACTAAGAAGTCCAAGGAAGTTCATTATAAGGACAAAGTGAAACTGCTTGAAAATTAGTTGAAGGCAACTAGCTGAGATAAAAACTGCGATTGACGTGCACTCAAGTCGCGTCTTCCAGAGACCCCAATCGATCAAGTTCAAGCTTGGCCATTTGGTCCGGTTTGGTGGGGCCGATGGCCGCGCGGCACAAAGATGCCGGCGGAGAACTCTCTGAGATTGACCTGGAACCAATGAAGTCTGGGCAGATAGTTCTTCGCGGTTATTGGCCTGCGGCCGCCTGCTCTGACCCCGATTGTGTTTTCAAAGACGAGTTCTTTTCCTATGTCGTACTCCAGAAGCCGGCAGAGCACAATTAATTTCCAAACCATAGTTGCAACTGACATTTCGTGCACCGAATCTTGGAGAACGGTTCTGATTTCGAAAGATGGTCCTACATCTAGCACCCGGGGCAGTCTTCCTGTACATTGGAACTCCTTGACAAGCGATCCAACCACGAAAGCCTCCAAAATCCGCATCTCCTCTTCGATCTCTTCCCAAGCCCTTTCTAAGGGTTGTTATTAGTATCCGCTTGCGGCCGACACTGTACGAATTCAGGTTTGCGTTTGAGCTGCAGCTGAACGGGATCTCTCTGAACCCTTTGGTGGGAGACAGCCAGGCAGGAGAGAGGCGACGGCGAGGCCTTGGGACCTTCAGATCAGCAGCTTCCAGGACGACAAGAAAGCCAAGTTTCGCCAGAAGAGCAGAAGCTGGACATCCCTCCACAGGAGGCCCCAAGGGTTTTTGCAAGCACGAGACCAGACAGCACAGAGGGTTGCGCAGGCTGGAGCTGCAGCATCTTGGAATTTCTGCTGCCAGTCTGACTGGCTCGGCAAGCTCAGCACTGCTGTCGGTGTCCGGCTGCTGTGGCCCACATGCAACGTGAATCATGACTCGCCTAACACCTTACATTGCAGATCTTTTGTCGATCATAGACGCTTGCCAGGTGTGGATTTGGTCGAGGGCAGGGATGTCGGGCGGCGAGACGGCCAGACTGGCTCCGCCAGAATGGCGCTGCTGCCACGCGATGTTCGGGCCAACGTAAGCTTGCGGGACTGTCACGCACAATGTGGTCAAGCGGAACTTGCTGACTTGGCATCTCTGGTATGCCACATCGCTCAGCCACCCGTGCCACCCCTGGGTCTGCTTCGGGCCACAGCACGGCAGCATGTGGAGGCCATATTGGCGCAGGCAGTGAAGTCACAGCGGCGAGAAAAGCGTGCAGGCAGACAGCCGAAGAGTGGCGGAGGAATGGCCGCTGCTCATGGTGCGGTTGCTGCTACAGCTGCTGATGCAGCAGAGACTGCTCGGAGAACAGCTGCAGTGGCTGTTCACGGTGCAGAGCGTGCGGCAGCTGTTGCTCAAAGGGCTACGCACAGTGCTACCCAAGCACTGGGTGGTGCCCGTCACAGTGGGCAGGCGGCTCAGGCGGCAGCTGAAAAGGCCTTAGGGCAAGCTGCATCGACCTCAAAAAAAGCCTTGGGCAGCTTGGGCACACTTGTGCGTGGCAACTTCAAGGGAAAGCTCGGATTTGCCACAAGTCCGAAGCCGGTGAAGGGCGCAGCAGGGGAGCAGGCCAGCTCTACATGCCCACTGAGTTTGGAGGAGCAGGAGGAGCTGGAGTTACAGCAGGCTGGGCGTCTGTTTGTCAACAAAAATGTCAACATATATTGATGGCTGCCGCCACTGCCGCCGACCCCGAAATGAAACTGGAAGCGGTATGAGTAGTGGGAGTGGT